AAAAAAACACCCCCCCCCCCCCCCCCCAGTCCCAAGATTAAGCTACAAAGATGACAATTTTCTTGGGTGCAGTTTTGAGGGTCTAATCACGGAATTCCAGTTAGGAATCCTACTTTCTAATAAAGTTTAACAAAGCAATTGTGATATTTTGTTAGACAATTCAGAAAAGCTCGCTGGAATGCCATTTACGCAAGGAGCTACAATACGGAGTGCCATAACTTACATTCCTCAACAGTTTGTAAACTGGCAAGGATCAGAATAATATTCATCTTAACTGCCTGGTTCTCCGATACAGGAAACCCCTTCAGGATGGCAAACAGCAATACTTTGCCACTTGCAGACAGATTAAGTGCTCCCCCCTCCAAGTAGTTTCATTGATACTAACAGCACCCCTTAAACACTGCTCAGCTGAGCAAGGGTGAAGAATCTAACCACAATTAAAACCCAGCAGGCTGAGGGTGCAAAACTTTGCTACTTATTGTTGGTAAAAGCTGTTATCTTTCAATGCAATTAAACTGTATTATGCTATGGTCCTTGGCTGAAGGATCAGAAACCCAAAAATGGTTAACAGACTCTTGAGCCCCTACTGAAGCCCTATATAAATTTCATCAGGAAACCTGCACTATTAAAAATCAGACCATTCACTCTCTAGTTTTTAGTAGACTAAATTATTCTGTCTCATCTGGACACCCAGCATCTTGTTACTCAATCACACTCCCCCCCCCCTTCCCAAATCACTAAAACATATCAAATACCACCAGGCACAAGCTAAAAGAACCACAACAGCAGCTGTGGCACTTTGCTCTTGCATATTTGCTAGCTGACTAGTCAACATGTGTTCTTGCTCCTTGGTTATTATTTTTCAGGGACTGTCTTCATAAGAGTGTCTCCTCAAGTTAACAGATTGCCTGTTTCCTTGTAACAGCTAACCCCTCTGTAAGAATAACATGGGCATTCCCCAGACTACAAACATCTGGAGTTTACTACAGGCTGAGCCCTGCTTCTTTTTTTTTGCTCAGGGATATACATGCCTTTTGTTGACTCCGTCATGGTAAATTTAAATAGCTTCATGCTGAGTCCAAGGATTTTAACAGCTTTGCTCTTAAACTTTGAGGTCTTTATGACTAGCTTCTTAGTTTTATTAAATTCCCCAACAATAGCTTCCAGGACACAGTAGCAGAGCAGTTAAGGGCTCATGCTATGAAGTCCTGAGTTCAATCCTCTCTCCAGACCTGCACCAAAGGCCATCCTCACTTAACCCAGCTATATGTGAACACCTGTTTTTTTGGGCAGAGGAAGCAAAGGCAGCCACATCATTCTGTCACAAACGCCGTCTATAAAAATTGGCATATTTTAACCATGCTGGCCAGCTCTACCACTAAGCTGTAGACAGGTCTGACTTAATTTCATAATTGCCAAGGCTGAAGTATGATTCAGGCTCCCAAAATCCTGAGATCTAAAATGCTAAAAACATTATGGGCACTGACAGACAGACCAGGGGGGGGGGGGGCGGGGGGGACCA